AAGAATATTCCATTACATCTGAACCTTTGAAATACAAAAGCCAAAACCAGCTATGTAAATCTGGAGTGCTTAAGCTTTTAAACTGGTTAAGAAGACGCTCAGTCTTTCTGCACTCCAAAGACAGCTGTATGAGTTCCCTGGCATACACAACTCTTACACAGCTTGTTGAATTGCTACCATGCACGAGGCCACAGCCTCCAGGAAGTCCTCCCACATGGGCAGTCCCTGCAAAGTCAGCAGGAATACTGCATCACACCACACCAGTTCAGCACCCAGAGGAGACGGGCAACATCTGCTCACAGGTGCCATCTTGTACAAGGTAACTGTGGGCACCACTTTGCCAGTGCTCAGCTTTCCAGGATGTGCCCTTTGACTATTTTATGTGTTTATGGTACACTTGGGAAGAGGTTTCCCAGAAATGATAGTCTAAAAAAAATTGGAAACCCTTTCAGTTGTATCAATGGCTGAACATGGATGCATTAAAGCTGTTCTCTGAAACCATTCTTTATTTCTCAGAGCAGCAATCACTTATTGCATAAAGATTTCATTGCACATACAGTCTTCATAAAACTGTAATCATACATCTATTTACACCATAAGTTTTCCACAACAGACACAAATATAACCTGTTAGATAACGCTCTCAATGGCAAATACACCAAGAAGGAATCTGAAGCAAAAATGTCTGGAATGACTCTTTTTGAATATCCATACTTCACATGCAATTCACAGGTACAAGAAAGTGAGAATCTACCCAGGTGGCACTTAGGAACTAGACATTCCTACAGAAAGTAAGAATTGCATCAATGTTTTAACAGAGCTGTATGTAAAATTAAAAAATGCATTTCCAAGAGGTTTGTCAACAAAACCCAATTATTTTTAAAGGAAATAGTTTTTAATTTACAAGTCTGATGTATATTAAAATGCTTGGGAGTTCAATACTTATTAGTCCCACCTTAAAAATTATAGTAGAAACATGAATCTGAGTCTAGTCAAAGGGAATAACCTGGCATGTTTATGGACACAGCACTGCATTTATTAAAATTAATGGTAAAAGGCCTATTGATTTTGAGAAGGAAAAACCAGATCCCATGGGAATTTTTAAAACCTGCTATTTTTGTGATCAGATACACAGCACTGCATTTTGATAGGCTGCACAGATGCTCTCACATTATCTATGAAATGGATTATCTTTATAATAAGTGTGGTGTTAATAATAATTAGTAATATTCCCTATTTATTCTAGTTTTGTGCAATGATATTTTAAATATTTTTTTCCATTCACCAACTTGATTTACTGTCTTTTCTGAAAACAAGTATTTTAAAAATTATTTACAAAAAAATAAAACTAAATATACTGTTTCTAACACATTAACCCAAAGCTACTGCAGAGCTTAATCATATGCAATAGTTTATAAACATTTCAAGTGCTCTTTAAGAAATGTGATATTAAAAACAATAAAAACTACTCTTCATCCCCTTTGTGCCCTCAACTATAAGTTGTTTACTTCACGAGAGTAGGAGATAAATGTCCTGAATCCCTGTGACAGAAGGAATTTGACAAGCAAAATTCTCAGCCAATTTTAGGAAGACCATGTCCCATACTGCAAAAGAAGACAAAAATTCCCATGTCTTTGATAAACTGACAAAGTGAAAAATCTTTGTGAGTTCAAACCTGTTGACTAGTTTTGAGAACAGGAGGGCAGCACACTGACCTGGGAGAGACCAATGCTACCAGGAGCACCTGGACATATTACCCTGCCTGCTGTCCATAGTCCTTCTGGAGGAGGTAATAATCATTGAATAATTTCATTCCTAATTATGAAATGTATCCAGAAGCTGAGTTTTTCAGTGGAAATGAAGGAACAAAAATTCCACCTTGTTTCTGCTACACCTAATTATGAAATGTATCCAGAAGCTGAGTTTTTCAGTGGAAATGAAGGAAAAAAAAAATTCCACCTTGTTTCTGCTACATGATCAGCAGATGTACTGAAGCACAAGATTTAAATGGTTTAAAAATGGTGCAGAAAAAACTACCAGCCCAGTCTTTTTTCAGCCACTGGAGATTTGAACCTTTTTCATATTTAAGGGTTCATATCACAAGCTGAAGTTCCATTCTAATTATTTTCATATTTTTGTATAGCAGGCCACTGCTTTTATAGGCTTACCTAACACTGCTATAAAACACCACATATTTTTTTGTCTTCTCTCCAGTTTGAAACTACTTAGGTAGATTAAAGACTAGGAGTTACAACTCCTAGTCTTAACTTGTGACTCACTGGCAGGCATTTGTATGTGTATCATTATTCTTAAATTTAAATGATTTTTGTTATTCACATAACTTGTGTGATAAACATGCTGTTCACCTGGTCACTGTAATAGCTGTTGGTATACAGCAGCCCTGGATCAAGTCAATGATATCTGGACATAAATAGTCTGCAATTATGCATTTTTGTGGGGTTAAAATAGTGTCTCAGGCCTGATCTTCTCTATATTTATAACTAAGACCTCTATCACACAGAAAAGTCAGGGTTTTTGATATTCTGGATGAGGCATTTCCCTGGCTCAAGCACAGGAAAGTGTACTTTTCCTCTTTCACTATGCTGATGATTACTTAGCTGATAATAATTCAATGTGTTTGAAGAGGAAAGCAACTGTGATCTACAGCTCTAGCCAGTGCAATGGCTTCAAGTACATTTACATTAAAAAGTGAATATATTTTATTCTTTATATTGACACATAACTTGATAGATTTGAATTTATAAAAAGAGTACCTAGGTTTTCTTAAATAATAATAACAATAATTTTTAAAAACCCTTCAAAAATAATTTGCAAAATCTTGGTCAGTCATAATATTCTAAATCTGAATTAATGTCAGAAAAGGCAAACTAACAGAGTGAGATGACTTTGTTTTACATTTCTGCATGCTATGAGCTTCCATATTTGTTAATGCTTCCTTAGTGCTGCATCTGCCCAATCAATAATATCTCCCAGTGTGATGTTACATAGAAATGTGACACCAGCATGTAGAAAGAAAAATAAAGACACAAATAGATATCTGATACACAAAATACACACTATGTATATATTTTTTCTTCTCTTACAGATCAAGCATTGGTCACTGCAGCATACAATGTATATTACTGAGTAAAAGGGACCAGAAAAGGATTTGCAAACTCAAAGGCAAATGCTGTATCAGAACTTGTGTCCATACAGGAGATGTTTTCTTGTGCTGAAAAGCTTAATTGCTGAAATGAAATTCAGAAGAGGACCTGAAGCCATGTTAACCCAGCCCTTCTGAAGCCCTGTCCCTGTGCTAGTGCTAAGCCAAAATCATGCCAGGAACTGTGCTGGTGACTTAACAGTGTGGAGGATCCCTTGACAGTTCTCAGGCCCATGCCCAGGCCTTGGCCAGTGCCCCATATTGATGCAGTCTGAAAATCTTGAGTTAGACTTGGCCTTAGGCAGATAATTTTATTAACATTCAGGAAATGACAACATAAGCAAAAATAACCCCAAAGAAAAACAAAAAAATAGAAACTTGAAAATGAAACATATGCTTGCAGATTCATTGCAAAAGCAAACTGAAGCAGAAGTTGCTAATACGGTTTTAGTACTTTGTGAAGGTGCCAGCTGGATGGATGATAATTTTTCTACCCCTGCAGGGCATCAAAGCTCTTATAAAATCATTCTTTTCACACATATTAGCACTTAGCTTATTAAAACAGATGATACTTTTTTTTTTTTTTGTTTTGTAAAGATGCCTGGGAGTGTCTGGAAATATAAAATCTGAGAGCTAAGTCTTATTTTGACCACCCAGCCTAACAAACAACAAACACTGACATGACATACCATGGCTGAGAGTCTATGTTATGGGACCTTCTGTGACTGCCACAACTGTAGTGTCACAGTAAAGGCTGTGAATTGCTGTTATGAAAACATTTGCTGTAACTTGCATAATTAAATTAAACTGCCAGCAAAGCTTTCTAAAATACTTAGGAGATGACACAAATAAATACATTTCAAAGTCTGTATTATGTTCCAGAATTAGTTTTGTAATAAATTCCGTTTCACAGTGCTAGAGATGACTTCTTTTCCTGTTTAAATTCCTATGTAATTGTGACTGAGACAATTTTCATGTAAACTGGTCCCAACTTATAGTTAAATCATTTTTATTTTACATATATTTTACATGCGTAGTGCTTTAAATTTATACAGAAGGTACTATTTCAGCTGCCTACAGCTTCCCCTTCAGCCAATTAGGAAAAGGACATACTAGACATAAATTAGTAGTCAGAACTTGAATGAACTGAAATGTGATCATTTCTAACAAAAAGGTGAGGAATCAGGGCAAAGGAATGAATGGAAGAAGGCTGCAGAAGTTATTATCAAAGCTGAAGAAAATTACTGCGTGCACCTTGAGGATTACTCTGAACTTGCAGAAGTCACATTAGAAATTTGAAAATGAGTTTGAAAATTCAATAAATGTTTATAAATGTCGACTTCAGGAAATTAGAAATCTTAAACTGGAAAAATCCATAAAACAAAATTTTAAGTCATTCCACAGAAGTACCAGCCAAACCCAAAGATCACCTGGCATCTGTGTACTCTTTCTGTATACAAGCAGGCGGTGATATGTAGTTCTTAATTTAGCAAAATTTGGTCTGCAATGGAATCCACAAACCACACCAATCCAATCCTCTCCATTAAAAAATTAAAATCAAAAGGGGGAATATAATTGGACTACTCACAGTGGAAAAATTACTGTTTGAAATAATAATATTCTACTGATTTTATTTGTCTTCTAGCACTTAAAAGTTTCACGCAGAAAATATTTAAAGAAAGGCCACCTTTGATAGCTGAAGCTTGTAAAGAATGAAAAAAAGAAAAAATTATCAAAAGAGAAGAATATCTAAACAGCTTGCTGAACACCATCGAAGTTCAGGTTATCCCTTCTGATGTAGTAGTGACACCAGCACACTTTGCAAGGCAGTTACTTACATCAAATAACTTCTCTATGTACATTTCCTCATTGACCTTTTCTCGAAGAATATCCTGGTTTTGCCGAACAAACATAATGTAGGTGTCTGCTAGATCCATTCCTGGTTTCTGTGGAGAAAAAGAGTGAGGGGAGGAAGTAATGGGAATGGAAAGACAAACCCCTCAGCAACTGAGACTTAAAAGAAGGTAGGCATAATGAAAACAAATGTTATAATGTTCATACATGTACAAACTGTATTAACAAAACCTGCTGTGAATTCTGGGTTAGTTAACATGTTCATGAGGTTTCACTATCAATGTAGTTCTACATGTTTTAATTTATGGAAGCTCTGAGTCATAAATCTACATTGCCATATGCAGTTGAATCAAGTCTGTTGCTCTGGAAACATCAGTGCCAAACTCGGACATCTTCCCCTGTTTTTGACAGAGAGGCTTTCATAGATAGCCACTCCAGCCCAAGTGTGGAGATCCAAATCCTGCTATCACATTCAGAAAATACTTAGAAAAGCATTCAGTTCCTTTTCCACTGCCTAAGATTTCTTCTAATTTACTTCCAGTGCACAGCTGAATTTTGCGCTTGGTGTTAGCTTCAACTAACTGCAATTCAAACTAAGCTCAAGCACATCCCTGAGAGCAACGGCATAAAAAGGCAGTTTTGAGTGTAGTCCTGTATGCTTTTATTTTGTAAACTGTTGCACTGGTGCAGTCAGCCCAGAGGATGGCTAGGGGAGGAGAAAGGACCAAACTTTTTCCCTTCCTGTACCAATATATGTTCTGTGTGTATAGCAGAGCAGGTGAAATTTTTATGCCACACCCCTTAGGACATGTTGTGTGTATGTGGCACTACAGCTGTACAGGCACAGTACAGCTGAAACTGCTCTCTCCTCTGAATCACTCCAGAATCCAGCTGTGATTTCTGGATCACTGTAGTCATGAAAAGTTGTTCCCCAATAACACTTCTAACAGCCTGCAACTTGTACTTTACTGGCAGTGTATGCAGAGCTGCTAAAGGAGTTCACTTTTTTTGGAACAGGAACCAAGAATGCACACAGGCACTTTGGAAAGTCTTCTGCAAATGCCCTCTGTGTGAGCAAGCTTGTTAAAGTATTACTTACTCCCAAACAATAGTTTGTAATGTTCCCGGCATGCAAAAGAAGGCTACGTTTTATAATACTTTATAGCATTAGTTTTATAGTATTACAGTATAGTACTATAGTTTTAACACAGGCCTTAATATTTATAAAGGATCCAGATTTTGCTAAGACTCCATACAGAATAATTAAGAGTTCTGAGGAAGGAGGACAAAAACAGTTATACCCAGTCCCTGAATTCCCAAGCATAAGACATGTCTATTTCTCAGAAACTGTCACTGTCTGAAAATAGGATATGAAAAACACAGTAAAATAGTTAGCATATTTTAAAAGCCTGTATGCATGAACATGCTCATATAGTTAAAATATTAACATATTATTTCATATTAAGGCTTACTTTCTAGTCTGCAAGTGAGTATTCAACTTAATTTTTTTCTTATTTTTTATTATCATGTATGTAATATTTTGTAATTTATATGAACAGGTCTGAGCATGTCCATACTAAAACTTGTTCAGAAACTGCTGTCATCCTATAACAGTAACAGTATGGCAGCATTCTTTCCTCAAAACTGCAGGGAGTGAAACTTCCTGGCTTATGAGGCTCAACTCTTTTTACCCTGAATCTACCACCCATATAGAGAGGAATATTTTCCAAAATAAGAAGATTTTCTTTTTTATTTATACGTGTGCATATATGGCAGTTTAATTTTTTTAAAGTAACCACTAAATGTGGAATGATGGCCAGCTTTCATGCTTGTAGCATCTCCAAAACTCAGAGTGAAAAACTGAAATATCTCCTACATTTGGATTGGTCATTCCAGAGGCAATGAAAAAAACTTATCCCATCTATATATGCTTAGATGAAACTCTTAAGAGGAAAGCAGGACCATTGATATTTATATCTGCATCACACATCTAAATCCTAAGCATAGAATAAAAAATTTAAGACTTCAATAGACAAAACCTTTTCTGTTGGAAAACCTGACAGAAATAAATAGATCTCCTTCACAAAAAAGTACCTCATTAAAATGTAACAGAAATGCTTAAGACATCATAAAGTGAAGCAGATTTAAAACAGAAAACTCCATATTTTACTGTAGCATACTCATTTGTGATGGCACAAGAGAATACAATCAGTGTTGAAACCTTATGAACTTTCTAAAACCTGATACAGAATTTATAGGATTTGGACTAGAGTTAACTTAGAGGAACAATGGAAAAATATTTTGAAATATTTTTGAAATATTTGAATATTTTGAAATCTCCAGAGATGGGTGAAGGAGAGAATCTAGTCAATGAAAGGCTCTCTATAGCTCTTGAAGATATTAATGCATCTTCCACTGAATTCTACAACCTAGTGGTTCTGCAATTAATACAATATTTTCTTTTACTAAGTTCAATAAAAAGTGTTCATCTTGCAGACAGCCAAAGCAAAAAAAGTTACATTTCCCATCAGCATTAACTCCCTTATCTTTGAGATGTTTACCTAGTCTTGAAGCTGTGACATATGGGAATTTCACACCTAGTGAATATATTTTCATGTAGCTTGTGGCAGAGGAGTGTAATCATTAAAAGAATATACACAAGTAAGAGTAACTGCAACAGCTGGTGACATTTACCAATTAGAATTACAGTTCTTTTAAACACTTCATCTTTCTTAATGTGTGCAGGATAATTATCTTTGAAATTGCTGTGGAAAAAAAAATTAATTTTCCTTTTAAACAGTGTCTGACTTCAGTAGAAGTAAGTCTGGGTAAGGCAGATTATCAATACTCTGAAGTATGTCTGCTTTAAACCTCACCAAAATCACTGAAGGTTAATCATTGCTCAAGGTGGGCAAAGTACACTTTAAACACTGAATGAACCAAAAATGCATCAAATTCTTCATCACCTCTTCATACTGCATGCATTGAATTTATTTGTTTTCTCCAAACACGGGGGGAAAAAAAAGACAACTATTATAAGAATCAAAATAGCTTTAATGCTGTATATTTAATGTTTCAACTTTTTTTAATAGGGATTATGTAATATTTGGAAACCTTTGATAGCACTATTCCTTATTGATCTGTTTTAAATTATTAAGCATCAGAAAAAACCCAAGTTAACACAGAATTAAACAAACAAACAACAGCAAGAAGTTTTATGTACCTTAAAAAACAAACAAATAGAAACTGAAATATATTTTAAATAACAGGAGGCATTTAATTGAAAAGACTAAAGCATTCCCATTTCCACATCCATACTCAGTAAAAAAAATAAAAAAATCTCTGAATCTCTGGCAGAACATCTGCTGAAGTTAATGAGAGTTATTTTCACATCTTTGGGAGAAAAATTTAACCTGGTATGTTATCCAGGTAAGTATAAAAAATATTGTCTGAAAGTTTCCCCAAGAAAAAAGGTGGGCTTTTTATGATAGATAGAAAGTTATTGTAAGTTTGTTTTATTCAGAACAGCAGACAAGCTGTTTTGCCTATCTGAAAATGAAAGAGAACCAGACAAAGAGATGAATAGAGAAACTGGAAACACAAAGACATCAAATAAAATACCAGGAAATTAAGAGTTGTAAATAGGGTTACTTTGTCGCTGGTTACACAAGTAACTGAATACACTGGAGAGTGAATGAGTTTAAACAAGGGTGTAGGCTTCAGCACATTCTTTTTTAGGGTTAATCACTAGTTAACCTGGCAAGATGAACATGCTGTTTGGGGAAAAAAAAATTTAAAATCCTTGTTAATTATATACTGCAAGTGCTCTTACTTCCTGCTGCTGCACCTAATCCCACAGGTGCAGGTTGTCTCTTACTATTCACTGGTAGGTGGGTCCTGACTGCCAGGCACTTTTTCATAGCAATAAATTCAGATAAAGAAGAAACAGCTTTATTTTCCCCATTCGAACAGGAAAACAGTACCATGGTGTCTATATAACATGAAGGCAAATGTTAAAATACATTATTTGTTTCCAAGATGTAGAAGCTGTTTTATGATTGACACGCATGGCTCCCACTGGCAATATTTGCCTGAAGCACCTAGTGAAAAGTAATGCTGCATTGCCTTAATTTCCAGGAATTCAAGTATTTTGCTGCTGAAAGATTGCAGTGGGTTTAATGCTGCCACTAATATTAGGCATTTTCCTACAGGTGAGGTACACCTAAGTTTCTGAACAGCATTTTGCAATGCAACAGTTTGGCATAAATCTCAGTGAAAATCATGTACATTTGTAATACTTGAGTTATGTTTATTCTCACTTTGGCATTTGTCAGAGAACATTTCTTAGCATCAGAGCGTATTAAATGAACTTATATTACCAAAAACCAAGAAACCAGCCTCAACCCACTACACTACTTTTACTGAGTTGCTCTCCTGCCAAGGCATTAATGTTTCAAAGATGAGAACAGATGCTAGAGACTAACTATACAATAACAAAATCCATCCAGTTTTGTGTTTGCTCTCCTCTCCACTTCTTTCCCCTCCCTTGCATCCTGGAGGGAGTCATTTTAACTACAGCATGGTTGTAACAATGCAATGAAAAGGAGAGATGAGCTGGAGGGGGCTATTGTGAGGAACACAGGAACTCCTTATTCAGTGTCCACCACAAAATGAAAGAGCATGTTGGAAAATTTCACTGCCTGAAAGTTCTTCTCTAAATACTGCAAGGCTCATCGTTGGGCTATGGAATTACAAAATTAAAATATCATTAAAATACTTTTGGAATAAAAACAACTTGTATCCATGGCTAGATCATAACCCCCATAATTTCTTAGAAAATTGAATACATAAGCCAGGGAGGAAGGTGCACCATTTCCGTAATCAGTCTATTATAAAGGTAACATTTTAATTTCACATGGTTATAAAGAAATTGTTTTGTTTAAATGAAAAAATGCAATGCATTTTCTCTCTCTTGAAAACATCTTCTTTAAAAGAAACAGCAACTTTGGCAAAGAGAAAATGTGAGTATTTTGAGAAGTCTCATGGAAAATTTAAACTGATTCTGCAAGCATTTACACAAACACCTTTTCATGTACATATAGTTCCATTGCATTTATGGGGAAACACAGGCATGCAAATGTCTGCATCAGGATTTTGATTCTTAGTGCAAAAGGTCCTCAAACCACTAAAGCCCCCATGACAAAATTTGGTATTAAAATATGCTTTTTTTTCCTCCATAAAGCTGTATTTTACTATGCTATATTAGCTTTCCTACTGATTAGCAGTAGGATTTCCTACAGATTGCCATTTAAGAGGTATCTCAAAAATACTGCTGACTTAAAACAGATGCTGCAGGGCTTTCCCTCCAATTCTACAATAGCTTGTTTTCACAGATTGGAAAACAGGAGGGCCAGTTCTCAGGTCTGGGTACACAGAGGAGGAGGAAGCCAGGAGAAGCACTAAGAGTAAGGATAATATGCCTTCTGTGGTCTTTTTACAAAAAATAGAGTTCTAAAAGAAAATCCAGCTTAAAAATGACTAGCATCGTACGGCCACAGGTGAATAAATACTTATTTCTCTCAAAAAGATTTTTGCTTCTTAAAGTCAGCTAAATGAGGCCATGCAGTACAAATGTGATATCTGAAAATGAAGGTATCTGGAAGGTCCCCATGTGTATCTGCCTGGTAGGAGGCAGAGTTCCTTCTCTGGCCTCTACAAGACCCCATAAGTCAAATGCTGGCACATGTGTGAGGCCCCTTTTCATACCTTTGATCCCCACATAAAGGCAAGAGTGGAGCGAGAGGGCTGGCATTGTGCGAGCTGTGCACTGCTGTCAGCCCTGGCTCCTTCAAATGGCCTCTCTGCACTTGCTATGACAGGTGGCCCGTATGAAGAGAGGGAGGATTAGGTTCCTTCTGTGCCCTCTAAGTAACTGGCATAGATTACTGGCTCCGACAAAGGGATTTAAACATACCTTTCTGAACAAAAAGCAGTATATACATGAGCATGTAACTGGATGCTCAATTTGGATGAGTAATTGCTCTGGTTGAATTTGTCAATGCAGCAAATGTGTGTAGAAATGACCAGCCAAAGACACAATTATTTGTATGCAAAACTGACTTACATGATGAGAAATTGAACACAATGAAATTATCTACATGATTAAGAAACAATAATCATTTGAGATTAACAACATGCCTTTTTTAACCTCAATTTTACTGCATTCTTTCCCTATTGTCATTAATTAACTGGCTTTGTGAACAGAATATTAAAAAAAAAGGCAATATATTAGGTTGTACTTCTACATCTCCTATGGATTGCTTGGACTTTAGAGAAACTAACAAAGGATTATAGTGGATTTAGATGAGCTGTGTATTCAAATCAGCTTCTCCATTCCCAGTTATCAAAACACAGCATTAACAAGAGAACTAATGGCATCCTTCATGCACTGCTTGTAACATTTGTGTTATCCTCCTCCAAACATTTGGTTTCTTCCACCTGCACAGCAGCCACATTTTTTTCCACTGCAGAGTCTTGCATACTGTGACAATTACCAGTAAGAAGAGCATAACAGCAACTAGATTTTTTATTACTATTTTTTGGAAACAATAATAAAAAATTTGGGGTTTCAATTACCAAAACATACATAGTGTCCATACAGCCCTCTATGCCTAACTGGGGAAAACAGTGAGAGCTCCTTGGCACTGCATATGCCCCACTTCTTGAAGGGCACTCTGAAAAATTGAGGCTTGCATTGCATGTTTTCTTAAACAGTTAAAAAACCTCACAAAACCACTTTTATTTTGTCTTCACTGGGATGTAATTAAGCACAATTCTCTAGCAAGAGTAATGAATAGAGGGGTAGAGAGCAAGGGTAGGTAGCATTTTTACTAACCTATCAGCCAAATGAACCACAAGTCTGTGTCTATCTTTCCCACCCTGGTCCTGAGAAATCGACAGATGCTGTCTAGGGAATGTGCACCTTTGTGTTCAACTATTTACTGTCTAAACCCTCTCTCAACATTAATAGAATTAACCTGTTCCTCAAAATGACTAAAAATGATCCAGGAATGTTTTCCTTACTTTTGTATAATTTACTATTTTAAATTTACTTTTATTTAACTTTTTTATTCCCTTATATTTCTAAGAAATTTTTATTTCCCTTATATTTCTAAGAAATTATCCCTTTGCCTCTTATCCTCCCTCTAAAACATTTTTCTCAGTACTACCTTCATTTTCTTCTAACACCTTTTTCGCCTAGTTAGCTTCTTTTTATTTCAGTACAAACCGGCTTATTTTCACTGTTTGCCAAATCCTGGTAGTCAAAGATGAAAAACTGTGTCAAATCCACACACTCAAACAATGCTCCCCAACCCCTCTGTGCCCCCCAGCCCCCCTGCCTTCTCCCTAGATGCACCAAGTGATCTCACTCAGATGGAGGTGGGGCACAGGGGCAAATGCCACTGTCAAACACATGCAAGTCTGCACATATTTGCAACTACATCAAAAGAAAGGGCTGACTGTGCCCAAGTTAAGTAACTTTCACGCATGCAGCTATATATGGCAGGGAAGAATAAGAAGAAATTTACAACATATTAGGTCAAAATAAAACCATGAGGCATTTAATCAACTTCAGTGCAGGCTCGCTAGGTCACTGTCACACTACCAAGAGCTCGGTGTACATTCCTCCCTGTGTGCTGCCCCTCACTCCACTTCTCACTTCAGCTGTGAGCCCAGGTGATGACCTTGTGATGTGACGACTTTCAGCCTTCTCTTACAGCTGGAATATTTTGCTTTGACATCTGGTGATTTTAGGCCCTATTCAGAGTGGACAGCTGCTGTCAGTTGTGACAGTAAGGGCTCTTGGCCTCAACTGCATCTTCACAATAAAAGAATGTGAAGAAGCAAAACCAACCCCCTGCCTATGAAAACCTTTCAATCCAGGTAAAAAGACCTCCAGAATTTGAAAATCTGTGGTCAAATCCACAGCTTCCCTGAAGCAAGGAACATTTGTAGTTTACAGCTGTGGAACTACAGTCCAGTTTAAATGCTTGGCTGTGGGAAAGGTGAAGTGGGAAGTGAAGATATTGTAATAATGCAAGGATCTCGACAGCCTATCAGTAGTCTGGTCCTTTCTTCAAGCCAAGCACCACCATTCAGTGACTGTGAGAAGGGCTCCAGCAACCATCTCCCTGCTCGCCTCCATCTCTGGAACAGTGGGTGCATCCCTGTGTGACCTGATTTGTAATATTCCTCAGAGCTTGTGGAAAAGGTATTTTTCAGTCTCATTTTTTATTGTGAACTTCAACAACAGTGTATCCAGACCAATGGTAAAAGACTTTGATGTCCCCTCCTCACAGATATGTAATTTGGAGAGTTTTCCATATTACCTGAAAGAAGCCAATGAATTTCTAGTTTGTCCACTAATTTTTTCTTTAGGCCTTTGGGTCTTAGGTGCCTCAACAAGGACCTTTTGTAGCAGCTACACAGCAGAATATATTAACAAAAGGTAAACTAAATTAACTGGATTTAATATGAGGTCACTCCTTTGAATGAAAGACAGTCTACTCTTTTCTTTTTTATACAATAAAAGAACACTTACAAAGGTAAAAAAAACCCGGGCAAAAATTAAAAAAAGTCTGAAAACATCATCTGAAAACAAAAATGTTACAATTTATCTTATGAATAAAACAAATATAAAGACAGCAAAATAACAAATTCCAGAAACAGATTTTTCCTTTTATTTAACATGCATGGACTGAAAAACAAGTTAGTAAAAAAAAATTCATTTAAGCTTGCATTTTTCAGGACAGAACTGCTGAAGGTTTTGCTGGTCACCACACAGTTTAGCACATCTGGCATTTATCTATATTTCATTTAATATTTTTTCATTTACATAATAATTGTCACTTATGTAATACTTTTAGTCCTTTTTTGCTGTGCTTGGAAAACAAGATTTTTTTAGAACTGCATTAAAAAGGGATGAGAATGTGGACTTATGAGAGAACAAGTGATATTGACAGTGAAAATGACAATATTACATAACTTTGCTTATTTAAAGAAAAGATATTCTACTCTCATACTCTAATAAAAATATTTTAACAGCTGAATTTTGCCTTTATATATAAAAGATCTCCTACAATTTCAGTTTTAATTTACTTATAATAACAGTTTTAATTTACTTATAGTACATAAATATTGCACAACCAATGGTAAATCAAATAGAGATTGAGCAAGCAAGGAGTTAAATAAACAGACCTGAGTCCTAAAGTCAGAAATCAAGAAATAATGGATATTCAAGTGATGATGATGCTTTTACTTGTTGCTTATTCTACACATTTGAACAATTTATCCCCACAAAAGAGTGTCTAAGTTACAATCCTCACTCTTCCACAACTGAAAAAGTGCATTGCGAATAACCTTTCTACAGTTTGCTTTGAGAGTTACTTATTGCACAAGGGAAATGAAACGTCCTCTCAGGGTTGGAGTGGCTGTTTAAATACTCTATGCAAAGCTGTAATGAATCTCTGTAGGAAAGCAAAATGTCAACAATAAAAAATGTGAGCTAAATCCCTCCCCCCCCTAATTTCTGAATTATTATGAACAATAGAATAAATAAATCTAAAAGGGTTATACTTACTGGAACATCAACATATTTGGCAGCTGCTTTTACCTTTAGGAAATTAAGCATAAAACACACAGTAAGTGCTTATTACTACAAATTGCACACCATTTCAGAATTATGCACAGAAAGAAGAACAGAACCTTTGAGAATCCAAACACTTACAGTGAATGAAACTAATGATGAGAAGAAAGTACCTTCATCATATCTTGACAATTTAGACAGCACACCTTCTAACACTGAAACAACCTGGAGGAAAAGCACAGAGAAAAAGCTAAATGCACAGTGTGAAAATTAAATATTTGGAATGAGAATGTGAATTTTTCTTTCTCATATTTGTCTTGATCAGCAGGGCAAAATGAACTGTAAACCTGATCACTTTCTCCACCTCACAAAGTCCTGAAATCAAGAATAACCTTCTTTCTGCAGCTTCACTTATTGATCAAACAGATGCAAACTGCTGAACTACTGCAGAAATAGAAATCCAACCCAAATTTTCTCCTGAGCCAGCCTGCTTCCAACACAATACTGCTGCCTCTAGAACATGGTTGAATATAGCAGTGTGTGTACCCAGCATGTATTTTGGGTAGAAATCACATGTTATTTTCTAGGACCACAGTTTCAAAGATGATGGAGCACAATTGCTAAAGGTGGTGATTGTGACATCACGTTTCTTTTATTTTTGCCATTAAAAAGAAAACCAGCTCTGATTTCAGCTGAAAGTGTAATAGCACTGATTTTCTGTCAGCAGCATGAGCTGTTGAGCTGCTACCCCATGGCCAAGCAGGTGGCAAGAAAATGTAAGCCCAAAGTCTGTGGTATGATGTGGTTTCTCTCCCCTGGACTTTCACCTGCTATTGTCTGAGTAGCATGACTCCTCAGTAAGAGGTATGAATAGGTATTTTTGACAAAATTTTGTTCTGACCCAAAAAAAAAATCTTGTTAAGTGCATTAATGACAACTTTAATGTTGAAACTGCCCCAATTTTACCTTAAAGCAAACAAATTCCCTTTTCATGTCCCTCTGTGATGTTACGTTGCTCAAGTAATTCACAGTATATAACATAAAATATCTGTCAGCCATTGTATTCATGCACATTCACTTTACACATATAAATTGCTTTCCAGTTTATATAAAGATTGTTTTAAAAGTCATCCCTTACTCCCAAAACAGTCATTCCCACAACCAAGAGTATCATTTTATGAGTGTGAGGACAGAGCAAAATTCCATCTGGCATGCTGTTAATGGGCCCTGTAACAGTGTCACAACAGTGTCACCTCCAGAGGAACTGAGATCATCACTTTACAATAAGCCCTGCTCTTAACAGTTCAAGGAGCAGGAGCAAGTGCAAACCTACATTTGTCATTTATCAATCTAACCTGTCATATTTACAGTGATTAATTAAGACACTGGTACGTAGGTGCCAATCAAAGAATAAATCCACTTCACAAGAGAGAGTGGCAGTTGTTTCTGCACCCACTTTATTAGACCAAATACCAGCTTTCTGCTTTGCAGGTGCATGCCTGTGAGAAGCTGCTGCTCCTACTTCAACTCATTTTATCTGATGGACAAGGATTCTTTCTGCAGAAAAGTGTTCAACTTTATTGTGCAAAGATTGGCTAAGGAAAAGGCTGATTTCATAAACATGGTGTCCACAGTGCCAACATATGAATCCAACATAAGAGGGACACAAAATAACAGAGAGCAAAACATTTCAGCGTTGAGGATGTCTGTTTAAACAAATGGCTTAGTTATGTAGCTGGAAACTTGCTTTCTGAGATGTCAGTGTGTGGACTTGTGAAACTGCAAAAGCATTTCTGCACATACCTCACATTCTATGAATTGGTTACCCTGAGACACACTGTGCTTTGCTTCACTGTTTTGTCCTATTCCTGTGAATTCTTGAACATTTTAGACTGATGTATCTTGGGTAAAAGACGCCCAGTAAAGTTCTTAACAATAAAACCTCACTGAAGGAGAAGTATTATTTTCAGTTTCATCAGTGACTTGCAGCTAAAAACAATGATTGAAACACTTATTCCATTAAAACACAAAGGAGGCAATAAAGAGGTAAAGGCTGGAAAATAGTGAAAATATATTAGATACAAAAGATGAATGCATATGGGTTATCATGCACATTGATGTGCATTTTTTCTGGCCAAAACCAAGAGCTAAATCTCAGCCTTCCTTTGTACCCTCAGAAGCTTTCTGCCTTAAAACAGAAGCAATCAGGATGTATTTCAGTGGTATTTCACATCTCAAGTGAGGAGACGCTGGTTAAGCTTCCAGTGATCAGCCAATGACATGGGATATTTGCTTTCTGTTTTGAGATTTCAGCCTCTGATATTATTGTGATAACTAATAATGCAAATCCCTCTGTATTGACACCACTTGTTTCTAGAATTTCTTGCACATATACCAGAAGGAATATGATTATATTCTTTCTTTTTTATACTTTCAGATATTAAGAAAAAAAAGGCTAAAAGTTTAACCTTTAATAGCACGATTTTTTCTGATTAAATTCCCCTTTCTTCCTCTTCCTTTCCAGTAACACTAAAACCATAAACTGGAAGATTACTTGGGAGCTATGATAGGCAATATGTGAAACTTGAAACTGTTGAATTGAACTGCTTAAGGTTATGTTTACATCAAAACTTCACTTTAGACCAAAAATGTCTGGCTTCTACACAGTTATCAATAAATGGACACATTTATTTTAAACTTCTATAATGATTCTATAAAGCCTTCCTCTTCAAGTAGGTGTCAATCCAAAAAGCAGATTCTTATCCCCCATCCCCCCTCAGCAAGCAGTGACAACTAAAAATAAAGGAATGATAAAAATATGACCAGTCTCACTTTTTGTCACCAACTCACTAATTGTGTATATAGGGCTTATTTTTTCTACTTTGAAAATCAGATATTTCTGGGTAGTTTGCAATGTACAGATAACTTCTAAAAAATCTTCTTATAAACTTCTTATATAATCTTTCTTTTCAGTCATTATATGCTGTGTCCTTTAAACTATTTGGGATGGAAACTTTTTTTTATATCAATCACTTAAGACTTTTACTGGAATAGAGATGCTACAGAAAGACAAGACATTGTTTAAGTTTTCTTCATTTATTCACCAAATCCTTATATCATGTCAAAATACATTTTATTTTTAAATATAAAAGCCTAAACTATAAATTTAAAGAAATAACAACTTATGAAATATTTTAAATTAAATAGTTTGTGGACCAAAGTCTCATTAAAAAGTTAAATTGAAATTCTGGATGTTGTCCACCTCTAAATACAAAATTTAAATACTAAATGAGAGGAAGAAAGTTCTCATGTAAGAAATTCAACAAAAAATAACACGTTATTATGTAAGACAATATTGACAAAATTTAGTCCTACCAGTTCTACTAGCTTCTAGAAATTCCTATCTACAGGAGAAACACAGAAGGCAAACTTATCTCAATAGCAGGCTGCACAGAAATTGTTTACTCAATTGTTATAAAATTTAATTTTGTAAATTCAGTATTAGTTGCACAAATAATATTTACAAATCATGTTGTCCCCTAAAATTTTCCTGCATATAGGAAAATGGTGTGATATTTGAATACATCTCCAAAGTTCAACCATTTTCTGCTGTGTTATAAATTAGAATGTAAATAGTTTTACCTTTGAAACAAGAAGCGAAATAATTTCTTTAACAGTTTCTTCAATCAAATCATCTATTTTTGAATGGTATTGTTGCTGTGATTCAAAAGATAAAAAAAGCATTAACACGTATATAAACACACACTTTTGTCATAAGTCATAAATGGTGCAAAGCTGATAACCCTGCCAGATCAGATTTACTTAAAATTATCATTTTGAACATCAGAAGAACAAACCCTTGAAAACGATCCACCCAATCAACACTTTCTTACATTCTGTGCTGGAAATTTTCCCATGTACACTGTTGAGTTAAGCAGCTAATGGGGTTATTATTTAGATGAATTGAGTTCTTATACTTATTCAGGCAAAGGAATGTGAAGGATAGTTTTTGTCTTCTCCTATATAATTAAGGTGGCCATGTATTTTTTTCTAAAGGGTTGGTTTAGCTCGAGAAGCAAAAAGACTAGAATAAGATTTAATTAATACAGCATTTCATGTCTGACAACTCTCATTCATAAGTTATTTTAAATGTCCTCTAGAAATAAAATGAGCTCCAATTGTTCATCCTGAAAGAGCCTTTCTGTTACCACAGTGAGCTTCAGTTTATACAAATCTTACAATATGCTCAAGCAAGGGCAAAATTAAAATTTCATCAACAAAGCAGAATAGATGGTAACAAATTAATAGGCCATAGAAGGCATAATAAAACAGACTTCATTCTCCATAGACTTTTTCTTTTGATTTTTCATAAAGAAGGTGCCTTTAAGTAAATGCTTTTAAAATAAATCCGAAAGACTTTTTAGATAATCCTACCGAGCTCCCTTCTGAAATTAACGAGAACTAGGGATCCCATTCTGTCAAGGAGGCACATCAATTTAAACAGTAATTCTTCCTTTAGAAACATTTATCTGACAGTAAAGATTGTCCCCAATAGCCACTTCACAGAAAATGTGACTTGTAAAGACTAACCCTATCTTCCTAGTTCAAGGCTACTTGGAACAGCGAACAGCATAATGCTTGGAATAAAAGTACTGAGGTCAGTGTAAACATCAGCCTAACTTAGCAGCTGCCAGCTGAATAGTTTTCAGAGTTCTAAGTTTTTAAAGGCATTTTTCATCTGTTTTAGAGTTGCCATACAGATCAAAACATTAATTCTGATCTGCTGAATATTTTTAGGAATGATTTTCTAAAAAGCACAGATATTGAACTTGGGTTAAATTAAGAGAGAATAAACTATGAGATGTGTTTGCCCACGTAGATGTGTCTGCTACAGGTACTAACACCAAATGTCAATTTTTGCTTTTGATTTCTTATCACATTTAAGAACACTTGAAAAATGTAAATACACAACTCAGACAAACAGCTCTGGTCACACTGGAACAGTAAAAGAGCATAATAGAAATACATCAAAGAACTTTCTACATTTTCATATTTATTACATTCCAACCATATTAATGTCTTGACCAATAAAATATTGTCTTGATCTGCTAAGGGGTCTAATCACCCCAAATAGAGTGTGACATCCATTGCTTACATCCAAGCCTTCAGAAGGCAATGCTTTCTTACTCTCTGGAAACCATAAACAATTATTCTCCCACTGATGAATATCAAAACTATATATACTCCTGTGATCCATAAAGAATCAGTTGTCTCTCCCAGAAAGTATCTGCAACTTTATCTCCACAGTACATTAAATTAATGGATTTATGTATGTAAGATCAGTTCCTATTTTTTTTGTGAGTTTTTTTCCTTGGTTTTTTTTTCCTTTATTTTCACAACAAAGCAAATATAATTTTGTAGAAATGGTGTATAAACAGTAACTTCACTTCTGACCAAGGCAAAAAAAAAAACTGAATCAAGCTTTTCAAAAACTACAAAGTTCAGCAAACATAATTTTGTAGAAATGGTGTATAAACAGTAACTTCACTTCTGAACAAGGCAAAAAACCCCCTGAATCGAGCTTTTCAAAAACCGCAAAGTTCCAAAACCATGACATTTCTTTAGAAATAATTTCAAATTACTTTAATCTGATTTTTTTTATTATTTATTTTGAAAACCACGAGATCATAAATTCTGTAACCCACTCCTCTTCAGTGCTAATTTCCACTAAAACAGTCACCCTCAGTAAATCAAAACTTCAGATCCTTGTAGAAGATGATTTGACTGTGGGCTTTAAGAAGATGGCTGAACTTTGGCTCCTAGTGGACTGGCTGACTGTGCAGGAGGAATAACCCAGAGCAGGAAAGAGGAATGGCACATCCTGGAGAAGGGGGTTGTGCCATCTCTCTGCAGGGCATTACAGAGGTGCTGGCATTGCCTGTCCCCAAAGCAGCACGTGCTCGTGTGTGTTTGCAGTCACTGCTTGCACACACAAGGAAGGGGAAATGGCAGCATCAGCCCAGAGCAAGAGTTGATAGCTGTGGTTACTTCTGATGAGCCTCACTGAGAGAGGAGAGAATCCAAAACTCTGTGACCTGGTAAGACAGGACACTGAGTCTGAAAAGCAGAAAAGTGCAGACTTCATCTGGAATTGTCCTGGAGGATGAACCCTCCAGGAAAAAACTGAGAAGCTGATGATCAGTCAGCCTGTGAAAGCATTCTGAGGGCCTGGCTAACAAATTAACATGAAAAGCAACATTACCATTTAAAATAAAAAGTGGCTGTTAATATTCAATGAAAAAAAATGCAAATTAAAAAACAATGAAAAGACACTTACCCATTGACTAGCATACTGGTTCATGTCACGGAAAATCAAAAGGAAAAATAAAGACGACAGGGTGGAACAGGAAAATGATGAATGTCTCATTGAATTAGGAAAAAAAAAGACAATTACATTGAATATGCTCACTTGAAAAGATCAGTCAATGAAATGAAGAACACAGTATAGAAATGCAAAAATCAACTGAAAAAGAATGTCCAAATAGTGTAATTGTGAAGGTGCCTAAAGGAGACATACATTTTTTGTTGCCAAATTCTGAAAAATGTTTTTACTGTCTCTCCAAAACCAAATAAAACAAATTACAAACCAAATTACATACCAAATTATATGCTAATGCATTAGCACAGAGAGAACAGTTTAATTTTTGCTGGTTGTCTTACCAATCTACATAGCATACTCTTTTCATTTCAGAGATTAATCCTGCTGAGAGTGACAACATGGGAGTGATGGAAGTCAGTGAAGTTTACATTTCCTTCAAAAGCACATCAGTGCTCCACTGTGGAGTACCTACAGTCCTGGCAGCAGACTACTGCCAAAACAGTCCCTGTCCTTGGAGACCAAATTAAAAAACCCCATTAAATTGCCTGATTATTTCTTTCCTCTATTTTCAGTATATTCCTAGGTATGAATGCAGGGTCTATAATTCATTTAAAACCAAACCTCACTAAATTAAAACCTCTCTGCAAAGGACAATATTTTGGCTCTATTTTACAATTACAAAGGAGTCCTGAAGTGGGCTCTTTTTCTGTTGCAGCCCGAGAGAAATTCCTGGAGGGGCTGTGAGTCAAGAAATCCTCTGAATGTTCAACACACTCACAGGTCAAAGCAAACAAATTACAGAAGCACTCTGTGTGCTCTCTGGTGGAAGATGAGGGGTTGTGTCTTCCATGATGCTGCTAGGGATCAGCTGATGCACACTTCTGTACCAACAGAGCTATGTGATGCATCTCGGTTACCTTGAAATTAATCTAAGGACGGTCTGCAGTATGAGATGTTTCAGATCAACCAAACACAGGAATTAAACATACAAAATTCCACTTACCTCTTGCCCCCCATCCAGCATGCAGAGTTTAGCTGTCTGTTTCTTGGCGTCAACTAAGACGTTAAACATTGTGCACAGGTAAGAAGGTATACGCAAGTCTGTTGATTTGTTTGTCTTTTGCAGCTTCAGTTCAAATGCAATTCTCGTTCTGTTTATTAAAACACAATTGAGATATGAGTATCTCTTACAATTCTGAACAACCACAGTAAACATGCAAGTCTTACTGAACATGTTGGCTTAAAAATGTACATATGCATGAGAACACTTTAGAATTAAAATGATGTAAATTCAGAATATCAAACTTTCAATAAACAATTGCACTGATGGTAATCTCAAGGTTCTGCACTTCTCTAGTGAATTCAGTTGAACAACAAAAGTATTATCTTCTTGCTTTCTAGATAACAATATGCTTCCTTGTGTTTAATTTAAAGCAATGAAAATACCCCTTATTTTACAGCTTTTCTGTGCTAAAATGCAGGTTTTTTGTATAAAATTATTGCTTCTAAGAAATATGAGAAGTTCCTCTTCTATCTTTAATGGAAAGAAAATTTGAATAAAGAAAATGAGTTTAATATTAAGAAAATATTAATTTTATATTTAAAATAAGGGAATTTTAGGACATGCATAATATAACCCCCCCATTTTCTTCTCACAACAGTGTAAATAAGGAGCAATGTCACTGAAATAAACTGTAAATCAACATACCTAAAGATAAAATGTTTTATTTCCACCCTTATTTTTAAATGTGGGTACCAAAAATTCACACATAATATTTTTAGAAGGGAACAGAAGAATCCTATTCCCATTAAAAAATTCTTAAGATCATATTAATATCACAAGAAGAGTTATAACAGAAGAATTCCATAATTTTTTTCTGCGTTGCTACTCTAATCTTTATTACCTGACATACAGTATTTTGACCACACGAAAACATAATTAGTGTATTAAGACTGGCCTGTTACATATTAAGCCTAAAATATTAATATATTTTAAAGTCTTGTTGATAAGACAGTAAAGTTTTTTTTTCTTTTTTCAGCTCAAAATCAGTATAATCCACGTATTAGTAGCATTGAGTCTCTTTGCTACCCTATTTTTTTTTGACTAAGATTACATTTCCAGTCCTTTACGATTTCACCATTTTTCTAAGATTTTTTAGATAACTGTAATTGACTGAGCTTCTATGACAAATTCTTTAAGACCGATGGATTGCTTTAATTTTAGTGTTTCCCACCTTTCTTTGTTAGAGCTTTAACTTTTTTTCCATTCCGTGTATCACAGCCCTTTCATAATAAAATAGAAAAGTTCTTTTAAATGCTTCTGCCTTTTTAATCATGATAATCATGACTCTAGCTCTAGGAACAGGCTCATATCCTTAGCTTGAGGTTCTACTTTTTCCCACTGTGTTTAGAGAAAATAATGCAATACTACGTCATCTGTAAAGATTCCTATTTATATTGTACATTTTGTGATTAACACAATTAAATTATCTACAAAAATTATTTTACCCCATTTATTTTTTTTAAATCTGTATTTTTATATGTCCAGATTAAGCTTTCTGAAGCACCTAACTGCAGATCTCTGTAAATTTTCTAGACATACAGATATTTCTTCTAAATTCAGTGATATTTACTGAAAGCTATGGCAGAGGTCTTTTCAGATCACTTATAATTAGTTTAAAAGAATATACCAATAATGCTAAGATACAGCTCAAGGAAAAACAGCACTAAATTTTCTGTAATTTTCAGATGTTTAGCACTATAAAACTTAATTTCAGCTGGATGACTATCAGCCAGCCTTCTTTTGTTTGTTGTGTAAGTGCAGAAATATTGCACACTCTATGTATGTAATATATTTCTTAGAGACAGTACTCTAAAATTGATGTTAAATAGTACTATTAACTGAACATGAAGAATAATGTAGTAAAGAAAGAGAGAAATGTGCAAAAAGATTTCTTCTAGCAGAATTCTGAGTTTTGCTTATATTTGCACTAACATGGAATAGAAAAAAAACTCCAAACTTGATTTATTCATTTCCAAGGGTTTATTCACAACAACAGAGAAATTCTCCTTGGTATTTCCTAGATGTTGCCAAATTGCTGATTGCCAGATACAGGAAATAAACAGAAGTCATGATCTCTTTAGAACTGTCCTGATTCCAGTGACAGGATTCTGGTATACATACACCTCTGCAAGCCAGCATGAGCCCTCCTGTGTTAATTTTGAAATCTCTCCCAATTTTTAAGTGATCACTTCAACTGTACCTTTTAACGCAGGCTTCTATCATGTCAGTGGCCATGAGTTTAAGTCTCTGCTCTAAATGGTGGGCAAATTCTGGTTCCGGCCAGTGAAGATCAAAAACAAACATCTGCAGAGCATCCAGTTTCCAGAAAAGATCTTCTGATGTAGCTGATCCATTGCTATAAGAAACAAAACAAAACAAAGCCCCCAAGAAACAGAAGATAAATGTATGGATGTCTATCCCAGCTGCCACATAATTAAGGTAATAAGATTTCCTTATCACACCACCTTCCTCCTTCATTTCCCTGTATCTTTTATCATCTTTTATCAGTAGCTTTTAGTTAAAAAATGTGAAAATGGTAGTGGGAAACTTAAAATACATCCCCTTAGGGTGAAAAAAGTTAATAATTTCTCATTTGTTAGCTGAGAAATATGGCCAGATAGGGAGGTAGTTGGGATGTTGGGTAGCATGGAAAATTAAATAGCTCAAGTATCAGATAAAGATAGGAAAAATATAGGGTAGAGGAATAGCATGGATATTTTCAATATAGTGAAGATTTTGTGCATATATTTTCTTGTCTTCATAACTCTGATAGATAAGTCTACCAAAGAAATGAGGATGCTAGTAGTAATATTGTAAAAGAGACAACCAGAAAAATAGCCCCTTGATAAATGGTCATGAATTCCAGCTGAGGGAATAGCATCAGATCCGGGTGGGAAAAAAAAGAGAAGAGAAACTATTCAATGAAATTTGTGTACAAACAAAACCAGCAGATTAATATGGCTCTATGCCATCTCAGATTGCCCATAATGTTTTAAAGTCCTTCCACCCTGATTTGACTGCTAAATTTAAATACAATCGCTTGTGATAAAATGCAACAACTTAATCTAAGCAGTAAGTTCATTTACACTTTCACTGTCAATACAGATTAATTACATTTTCATGATGTGTTGTATTGCAATGCCTGAGTTACCATTTCAGATTAGAGTACACTATGCAACATTGGATTCCAGGATGTGAGTGACACAACCAACCAAAACTCAGCCTGACAGTCCAAATTCAGATCCAAACAGTTTAAATACATCTCCTCTATCATTTTGTTTCTTCTGCCTTATGACTAAAGAAGAGAATTATCAAAGTGTTAAGTGACCCCAGCTGTCATGGAAGGAATCAGTGAGCACTGATTGTGCTCAGGACAGAGCAGGGTCAGATTCAGAACGAAACAACCAGAAAGGACCTTTAATATCTGCTGCCCACCTATTGTACCCCTTGGGCAGTGGCACCAGCGCCAGGTCCCACCGGGGAGCCGAGGCAGTGGCAGTGAGGTGAATTCAAGCACAGCTCACATCCAGGGCCCTGAATTGCAGCAGGGATGCATTAGGAGCACTGCTTCAGTCTCACACTGCATCCATCCCCTGCCAGACGCAGCCACGTGTCCCTTGCTCCTCTGCTGCCACAGCCAGCTCTGTGCTCTGCAATGCTGCTCAGTGCCCAGCGCAGCCCGGGCCAGGCGAGGGGACAGCAGGGCAGTGACAGGCTGGCAGCAGGGGCTCCTGCCTGAGGGAAACGCTGCCTTGAGCCACCAGCTCTGCCTCTGCTTTTAATGGTGCAGGTTTTGATTCCATCATGGTGCATAGCAGGATATTCCACAGCCCCAACACACTTTTTAGTTTAGGCTTTTTCAATATTATGCATGTTTTCCCCACTTATGTTACACAGTAATTGTTGATTTTGTGTTGTATTGTGGTCCTGAAAGAAAACAGCAGGAACAGGAAAAAGGTCCATGGGCCTCCTAAGGTTACAGCTTGCACAGGGGTTCTACCTGCTGAGGGACCACTTTCACACAACACTAAGTTTAATTAACGAACAGAAAGAAAAAAAAAACCCAAAGCTTCTGGAAAATTTATAATCCTGTTAGACTGTTTTATAAGTTATATGACAAGCAAATATTGAAGATACCATTGCATCTGCTGTGTATGCTGGCAGTGAGTGAAGATGCAGATGCTGTGTTTTGACCTTGTCTTACTCAAAAGTGACTAAATCAAGTTTTGAGATGATTGGGGTAAAAGAATAAGACAAAACATATGGGGACAGAAACGTGACAATCTCAGAATTTATATAACTTGATAAAAACACATATTTTCTAGAAAACAAACAAAAATTTGTCAAGAATCAAAACTAATAATTTCCATCATCCGATCATAAAATTTAACAATTTTTTTGTTCTCCCTTAGTGGTTTTTTTTTTTTCCTGATGGAATTCCAAAGGGAATCCTTTAGGACTCAGAAGGACTAATGAATTCATAATAATATAAATGTATTCTTATGCACATTTACTACTATGCTTACTACTATACTGTAGTAGCCACTTAATTTTGTTTAATTAGACTACCAAATAAAGTTTCACAATTATAATAAATGTAATAACAGGCACAGGTTCGTGGAAGAATTCATTCTGTGAGAAACACTAATTCATTTCTCTTTTCATAAAATTTTGAGTTTTTGTCCTTCAATTTTTAAATCAGCATTATCCAATGACATTTGAATTTGACTAACTTATTGTACTAATAAGATGAAGAAAGAAAATAAAGTGCTATAACATAAATTGTTCCTGGTTCACACATCCTAACACAAATGTCTAACTTGTTTGCTAAATGCTCCAAAACAAGAGGTAAACTGAGATTTTATGTCTTCCTGGCACAGAAGCAATTCCTGTATTTAAGTTCAAGACTGAATCTGTATCCATATTTGAGAACCTTTTTTTTTGTGAAGGGACAGGACACATTCTTGGCTATTGAAAAGTTCTTATTTGAATGTGCATGGTAAAGCTATTTCAGTCTAAAGAAAGGAATAATATTGGTCTACCAGGAAACTGAACTGACATTCTTTCTTTAAATATTGTAATATTATCCACAGTTTTAAAATTAGTCACAAACTCTACTGCTTTGCTGGCCAAAACTTAACCTTTCAGGTAGTGTCTAGTTGTCCATTCTTATTAATCAGCTCACAGCAGTAAGAGAAGATTACTACGTATTAAAAGAGGCAAATATTATGCACATCCTGGTATATTTCCATTTATTTTAATGGGAATTTTGGGGAACTTTGCATTTGGTCACACTTTGACTGGGAGAGTGAACCAGGTATCTCCAGAGGTCCCTTTTAAATTATTTTATGGCTTTATGCTTTGCATCATACTGAACACAGCATAAAAATAAGATCCAAGACATAATGTTTTTCCAAGAACCTGTAGCATATCAAATCTAGGAATCGCATGCAGCCTTAATTCACTTATCCACTGACAGCTGAAAGAGGCAGCTTCCCACTGGGCTTGCCAGGTACCTAAGCAGTAGCAATTAGTCAAATAGTACACTAATAAAGTACACTGCAAGATACTCCAGTACATGACTTCAAAGTAAATTTAGAATGAATAATTTCTTGCCTACATATGAAACTCCATAGGGTGGCCTGGGATATGAAAATGTAAGTATTTAATATCTAACAGTATTATCAATCAACTCAAAGATTCAAAAGTGGCTGGTTTCATTTCTTTTATAATCTACCAAGGACAGGGATGGTCATTTTACAAATTACTGTAATTTTTTTAAGGTTACTACTGAGATACTACCCACTTGCATTTTGTGAGGACCATTTAGAAAACATGGCACCATTTAGAAAACAGGCACTACATCCATTGTGAGCCCCCAGCTTGTGAACTCCAGCTTTTCATTGTTTATGCTGCCTCAAAATACATGTTCAGGGCCCAGAAAGTCAATTGAGAATTTCTCCAACAGAAAAGGATTTTCCGTAATTTCAATGTCAGTTGCACTCAGCCCCATCTCTACTTTTCACCAGCAGGTGAGGCAGAAGGATGGAGCAGAACCTTTGCAAGCATCAGTTAGTGTAAAGTCCCTCAAAGACACTGGGGACAGAGCTACCCCATGACTTCTCTTAGCTCAAGACTGAGGCAACCTAAGGATCAAGCAACCAAAACAAGTTTCTTGAGACTTCTTTCTTACTGCATATTTTTGGAAGGAAAGAAATTTGCCCCACAATATAAATTTGTCTTCCAGAACACTCAGTAGGACCTAGCTATTCAAAACTCCTTTTGCAAGCATCAGTTAGTGTAAAGTCCCTCAAAGACACTGGGGACAGAGCTACCCCATGACTTTCTTAGCTCAAGACTGAGGCAACCTAAGGATCAAGCAACCAAAACAAGTTTCTTGAGACTTCTTTCTTACTGCATATTTTTGGAAGGAAAGAAATTTGCCCCACAATATAAATTTGTCTTCCAGAACACTCAGTAGGACCTAGCTATTCAAAATTCATTCCACAGAGAGCAGATGGGGCATATTTCACTATGCCATCAGTCCTATGGTTATACTTTTATATCCACCTTAGAATTGCAGGCCATGGCCTCCTACCATTTACTGGAGGTAAGCCCTATGACAGGAATGGATGTGGCACTGCAGACACAGCCCCTCAGAGCAGAGATGAAAGATGACCTCCTGACTCCCTCAGCACTCACAGACACACAGTGAGACCCAGCACAGGAGCTCATACTCAGTCCAACTCTCTCCATATCACTACTGGAGCTGCCCCAGCCACTGTGCCTGCCCCAGCCTTGTCTCTCTCATCACTCATGACAGCTGAGCCACAGCAAGAAGAATACAGATGTTACGTTTCCTTTGGTGTTGCTTCTTCTGGGTGGAAGACAAGACAGGACTATTCTCCTATAAGCATATAACTTATTCCAGGTTTCCCCAGCCTTGAATTTTCCTGAAGCTGATGTTTTAAACTGGTACCAGATGGCAACAGACAACCTCAGGTGTGTATCTACAATATTTCTGGTTAGTGACACTATGTTATGTCTGCACTAAAAAGAACAATCTATAAATTAAACCATAAACAATTAAAATCATCCACATATTTAACTTAAAACCCAGGGCCAATATAAGCAAAAAAAAAATTAAAATATGAAGAGCCATTTAAAGTACATTTGAATGAATGACTAAGTAAGGAAAAACTCATTGCGGCTGATTGAAAGCTTTTACAGAATATTCAAACATTTTTGCTCTTTAAGATTATCTTCAGCCAAATGGAAGAGTAAATCACAGTGCTCTGCATGTCTAGCCAATCTGTCCCCTGAGTTATCTTCTCCAGAGACCAATCAAGAAAAACAGACTATTACTCATAACAATTTCCCCTTTTCATATCTCACTTTCCAATGCCCAAAAAGAAGAGGAAAAAACATAATGATAATTCTAAATGTGGTTATAAGTAGCATATATTTATTGCTCCAAAACAAATGATCAAGGACAAAAAAAGGAAACAATTAATTAAAAAAATATAAACAATCTTTGCTAGTAATGTTCAAGAGAATTGTAGCAACTTTAAAGTGAAAATGGGGAAAATCTGTTTTTGTCAATAAAGCACACAAATGGATGCCCAACTGTGAATACATTTTCACTTCTTTCTCTTCAGTAAAATTCTTAGGTAGGCACATAGTAGCTCTGTTGAATATGAATATACTGAAACATGATCTTGAGAGCATGGACACAAACCTTAGTAAAGTCTGGAGAATAATAAATCTCTCTATTACAGATAAAAGAGACACGGGACTTCAGCAAACCTTTAACACAGTTGGCCCACAGACTAACTCATTATCATTCTTTTTACTCTAGAATCTTCATTGTCCAATTCAAATTGATAATGATTAACTGGCCAAAATCACCACTTTTTGGAGAAAGAAGAAAGTCCTGCAGAACTCTGTGATATACATAGTCATCCTCCTGCCAAATCATCACTTTTGTGTCCAGGAGGAGGGAGCACAGTGAACTGGGAAAGAAAGACTTGGGGGAAGCAGTGGGGAGAAGGAGTCCACTCGCACTCCTGAATAAGATGACTCTGCTGACTGTATGTATAATTCCGTGTACCCCTCTAGTCCATCTAAGCTGGGGTGTTCATCACATTGAAAGTCAAAATTGTCAGGAAGCTCTGGGTTTTGCTTAGCAGGTATTGGAGCAAAGATATTGTGTAACCTCTTGTTGAAGAACTTGGCTAGTAAGTGTGTTCTTCCTGAAAAAGATGGGATGGGAGAAGAGGGAGAAAATAAAACCCTCCTCCTTTCTATTACATAATAGCAAAAGTGATCCACTTCCTCTGTGAGAAACTGAGCCACTGTTGCCAGGAGGAAAAAGGAAACTCCTTAGCATGGGAGGAGGGACAAGTGTCTTGCAGTGCTTTTGCTTTTTTTTAACCCAAAATACATGACCATTTTGAGAGATGAGAATTTAGTTGGCTCTTCAGTAGAATGCAGATAGGCTGATTCTTAAAATACTTCTTGAATACCAGAGTTTTACAAAGGTAACCCAATGCTGCCTGCAATCGAGACTGTCAATTCATGCACATTTTATAAACATAGCCTCAAAGCTCTATGTTTTGGGAAAGAACATGAAGAGGTGCCTCCATCAGAGCCAGCACCATGGCAGATCTCTTCTAGAAAGCTGTGTGGGGTGTTTGAAAGGGGGTGATGGCCTTACAAAGGTCACAACCCCAGTAAGAGACACTGCTCACCCCCACTTCTCTTGAAAGGCAGCAGAACGACAGCCACTTCTGGCAAGTGTTTACAGCATGTCAACCTCACTGCTCACCAAAGGCTATGAAAACCTCACTGGCTGGTTTAGGATTTTATGCATACTATGTCATATATACCATGAACTAAATACAAGAACATGTGCAAGGGGGATGAGCCCATGGCTGAATTTTACTATGCTTGCACATGTTTTGACAACAGAGTCTAGATATATTGCTGCACAAATCCCTTCATTTAGGAAAGATCTATCACTATAATCCTCCAACCAGAATCTGTATTCATTATAAATTCAGTACTCAAAGTATATGAAATTTCATCTATACAATTTACTTTTACTGGATGGGGCTGCTAGAAAGCAGACTAAAAGAGCTCATCCAAGATTAGCAACTCTTAACTCCGAAAGCTATTCTTTAAAAAAAAGTGACCTTTGAAAACCTGGGGATAACAGAAAGGAATTTGAGTTCCAGAAGACCAATTAGTTTGTATTCAAAGCTGAAATGACTTGCATAAGCACATCAGGAGAAACCTAGCATTACTATAGTAAACACAAAAGGTACCAAAGCCAAGGATTAAGAGGAATTCTGTCACTTTTTAGGGGAATTAACAGCAGAACAACAATGATAATACTCCCTTTTTACAAGGAGTCACATGAAAAAGACAAGGGATAATGGGTTCGAGTTACTTCTGGGGAGTTTCTGATTAGAAAGTAGAGGAAATTTTTTACAATAAAGACCATCAGCCATTGGAATAATCCCCCCAGAGGAAATGGTGGATTCCTCAACACTGCATATTTTTAAAATTTGTTTGGACAGGGCACTAGGCCATCCTAGACCATGCTTTTGCCAAGAAAAGTTGATGAGATGATCCTTGAGGTCCCTTTAACATGGTATTCTATGATTGTATTAACTCTTGCAGAAATAGATCTAATGCTATTTAGGAGTCTGTCATGAAACTTGAAAAGACTTGAAAGACTTATCTTGAAATGACATTATCAACATATGTGTTTTGGTTGTGTGTTTTTTGAAGTCTTTCACACTTACACTTTCCTAATATAACTCTGGCTAAAGTAAGGTTCATGAGCCTTTCTCTGATATATACTAATGTGTTCTCACACAGAAATCAGACCTATAACTATGGGAATATTTCCACAGAGCACTGAAATGTTGGGGAAAAATCATAAAGAAATAATTTTTTTTCAAGCAGACAAAGAAGGGGATGTACTTCTACCCTTGGTACTTAATAACATTTTACTATTTTCCAGTAACATGGATATTTAATCTGATGACAATATTTACAATCAATGACTTTCCAAACCAATATAAAATGAGTTAATCAAACCCATGCAAAAAATATAATGGGCTGCCTCATTTCACAAAACCACAATCTAAAATCAATCATCCAAAAGATTCCCCACTGCTTATTAATTCAAAAGAGTCATTAGGTTGTTTAGAGTATTAAACATCATTCCTGCTATGAGAGACCTTTGCAAAGTTGATTTTCTAAGTTATCAGGTTTAAGACTGCTACATTTTAATGCACTAGAAAGCGGAACTCACTAACAGTCCATGCTGGGCTCACTCCCAAGAAACAACAATTTCCAGCTAAAAGAGAATAAACACCATGCAATCCAAATACAGCTGCACAGAACACTAGCAAGGCCATGCAGAGCTGACATACAGTCAGAAAGTTATTGAAGAATACACACGTGGAGTCATACAAAGAAGTCATCCAGGTTGGTGTAGTAAAGCTAGGTATTTGTGGAAGATTAAGAGGCAAACTTGGAACTTTTGGAAGAGCTACATTAGGAAGACTGTTGGTGATGCTCCTGTGAAGAAATAAACAATGTAGGAATACAATAAAAAATAGAATATTTAGAGGACAACAGGGGAGAACCCCTTATTACACAGAAAGCTATAAGCAGGTGCTTTGTTCAGATTTTGTAAAAAGCACTTACTTGACAGGTTGCCATGACTCTTGTTCAAGACCTCTGTGAATGGACTGAGCAATTGATGATTCCATGAGATCAATGTAGCGGACGACCATGGGAACAAAAATTTCTTGCAAGTGCTTGTGAAACTTGCCATTGCACAAAAGCGCTTTAAAAAACAAATGAGAGACAAAAATGTCAGACCTTTTGTTACAGGAAGAAATGTATCTTAAAATGTTTTAGTACACAAAGGCATTATAAGAATAAGATCTAGCTTTGTAGGAAATACAATTCAGAAAAGATAAATAAAGTGTTCCATAAGGACAATGCAGTACATTTCAAAACTGTCAGTGTAATGAAAACTAGGTACATACTGAAATTCTTTACTGAACCAGAACCTTTTTAGCATCTTCTTAAAATTAATAATATGCTTTGCTGAGTCTAAACATTAGCAATTTTGTTCATTACTTCTACACCAAGATTGGGATAAAAACACCTGAAAAAAGAAAAAAAAAATAGAATGCCATTCATAAGCAGTAGAATATTACCTATTTCACAGATGGGACTTGCTACATGAAAAACTGCATACACATACAAACTGAACATGCTCAAAATCTGAAAATTAGTTTGCCATCACCCCTGCTTGTCCCTGTATTTGCTGAAGTGCTATCTCAGCAAATGCTAACTCTTAGCACACTAATGTCCTGTCCCACCAAGAGAATATAGGCTTCATGTTTTGAATGTGTCTGTGTTCACCCTTTAATCTAGCACTGTTATAAGAACCTATGAGAGTATACCCGTGTGCATATGGAAATCATAGAAGTTGTTTTAAATCCTTTTGTGGGTTTCTCCTCCCACCTATTCCAGCATGCAGGCTTCTTGTACAACTGGATGGGCACCAAAACCACATTTTGAGGAGGCTTCCTCCTCTTCCTAAGAAGAAAAGCCTGGATTACAGGGTTTACCATGGATAACATCCTTTAAAATTACAATCCCTTTTGTTGTACTATCAATGCTACACCACTCCATGTCTAACATGTCAAAATAATTTCTCTAACTTCCAGAAACTACTTTGCCTTCCAATCCTGAATGTTGTCCAGCCCAAACTGAACATGGGAGAGATGGGAGACTATGGGGAAAACATGCCATCAAGTTTCTGTCCCCTATTGCTACTGGTACTGCAAAGAAGTCCTTGCTGCTGAATGTCTGGACACTATGGTACTTTTTTCCTTGAATAAAATGATATAATAGCAAAAAACAATTTTCTTGAAAACATCCTTGTAAAGAAATAATAATAGGATATTATATAGGATAGAAATGTATATAAGAAATATATAAGAAATAATATAGGATATTAATATAGGATATAATAATAGTAATAGCAAATATTGTATCAATCACCTTTACCTGAGGAAACAATGTGATCAGCTTTCTCTGGTTTTGTGTTTTGTGCCTTTCTTGCTAAGAATTTTGAAACTTTCAGCTAATTTCCAACCACTTCAGACACAAGGGTGGAGATATCAGATACTTGAAGTTTTATAAAAACAGGCAGCTAGGTAGCAGGCAGAGATTATTAGGGTTTCCACTGAGAAAAAGGCAGAGGTGTAGGATCATCACTTTATTAAACACTTGAGAATCCACCCTTGAGAGTATCTGTGAGTCTGTTACAAACATGATCCATTATTTACACTGCTCCTCAAAATAATTGTTAACTAGTTAGCTCTGGCTTATTATTTATATATCAGGAATTCAAACTAGTCTTATTTTGCTCTATTTATAATTGTCTTATATATCTTAAAACTATAGCACCTTTTATCAGCAACAAAAATGACTGAGGAGGACTTGGATATTACAAAGGTTGCACAATAAACAGATGATGAGAACTGCCTTTGAGAAACAAAAGGTTGATGGTATCCATTTGCACATTAGACTGAATTTTCAAGGCAACTTTGAGCTGAAAAATAACAGCAAGTATACAACTATGCCAATTAGATCAATCTTGCTGGTTCATAGTGAACCAGTGAAGAACTGTAATTAATCAGGTAATCACAGTTACTTGAAGGGGTAAGCTTGTAGTTTAGTGTTTTCTGAGCACACCTCAGAAATGGTCTGGTACAAGCACTGCTCTGGGAATTGCAGTAATGAAGCCTCATGGGCAGGAAGGTGACTTGTTATTTTGAAGCCAGCATGAAATTTTAAGAAGTCGCAGGCAATAAAAGTGTTCAACTTCAAAAGCTGAATCATTTTCCTAATGTCATGACACCACTCCTTACAGGGAAGTGAAATTTTCCAAAATTATGCCAAGGCTTATACTTCACCTCCACGGAATTCCCTCTGTGGGTACACAGTCACAAGACAAGTGTCTTGGATCAACAGCTCCATGAGCATTCTGTTTTCCCAGGGTTCAGGACTTGGCAGCTCTGATTTACCCATCTGGAGATCTCAATCAAGGATTAATGCAGGGCAGGGAAAGAACTCAGAGCACAGAGATAAGTGATATAGCTGAGTATCATTGTCAGACTCATGGCACTCTACCCTATGATTTAAATTGATCTTGCCAAAAGGTACCACCTGTGCATCAAAACAGACAGGAAACAAGAGATCCTTCAGGAAATGTCAAGCTTCAGATCCCTCAACTACCACTTGTCTTCAAAGCTATGTAGTTTGATTCTCCATTGTCTTTTAAATATATCCCACACACTCTTCATATGAGCCATCATATGAGCCATGCATATTCACACAAGCAACAATAAAATGAAAGCCTATGCCAGATCAAGGTAATGTATAGGCAATATTAAAGGAAAACACATTATGGGAACAGAAACAGAACCCTGAACTTGATATTCTTGAAATATTGAAATTGAAGAAATGATTACATTTTCTCCAGTATTAGGAAATATATTAGCTGAAATATATCAAAATATGACAAGAAAATATCAGAGATGAATCAGAAGTCTAGTTATTCAGTACTAGAATGAGGCTTCATCTCTAACAGTAGGAAATCAATATGTTGTGCCTGTGTGCCACAGAAGTGGAGAGGCTTCTATTGCTTTTACTAATACAGGCACATCTCAGGAGCTTTCCTGGAGCCAGCATGTCATGCTGTCCTCAAGAGCTTCTGCAGAAGGGAGGCAAGCATGACATGGACTAACATGAGTCTCCTTTCCCTTGACAAAACTAGCACTCTGTCAGAGAGTCTCTAATTATCCTGCACTTCATAGGATTCTATGGAAAAGATAACTTGAGTTTTCTGGTATATTTTAAAATCCAAAATAAGAAAGAGTATATTTCAAGAAGGAAATATCGTTGAGGGTTCAGATTATATTTCTAGCAATTGAAACTCAACCAATGACATGTGGAAAGAAAGGTTTTATTCCTTTTCATTTGCTGTTTATATTCTGCCTCCACAGAGAATTTCTTAATCAGCTAGTTAAACTGCAGTAAAAATTACAAGTGTCCCAATTTTAATGGAAATTATCTTGTATTTTTACATATAAGACATATTTTAAAAGTGAAATGTAGAGGTTTGCTTTGTGAAAGCAAGGTTAAAACTCATTTGATCTTTACAAGATAGAGTGACATAAACAGGTTATAGCACAATTTACCTTTGTGTAAAAGTCCCATTAGGAAAAATTATTATTGGATATTCTGTAAAGGAATAATGCAGCTTGAGTTAACTCTCAGTATCAGTAACCAAGACATGTAGCTGTTATCTGAAGTCAGGTTATGATTTCAAAGCAGTTCCTAATAGGACTGAGTCCCTGATCTGAGAAAAGATACCCTCTACAATAACGAGAAGTGTAAGGTTTGAGGTACTGGGGTGGGTATAGTTTGCTCTGATTACCTTAAATCCAAGTTGTTTTCTAACTCTGCCCTCTAGTTTAAGAAGTTAAGAAGTTAAGGGTACAATGTCATTTTATTGTATAAATTCTAGTCTAAAAGTGGTACACAGTCTGTAACAAAGGAAGAAAGCGATGATTCTGTCTTTGGTGGTGTTTGCCACTCTGTTACCAGCAACAATCATGGAAAACAGTGTATCAGTGTATCCTGTTTGAAGTCAGTAACCATAATTATGGCAATGGCTTTCAAAAGGCTAAAACTCAACATGCTGCTTTTTCTAAATCAGCTTTATCAGACTGTGCCTTTACTTTAGAGCAGACTGTGGCAGAGTTAGAGCAGGTGCACAGACATTCCACCCAGTAATACTTGAGGGAGAATGAAGGCTACGAGTCACCTCTATAATACTCCTGGTTTTGACTGGTTCATGCCAAGGCAGCAATGCAATAGTGCTGAGCTACAGCACAGGACAAAGTGTCAGTGACACTTGCAGAGAAAACTTGGTAAGGAAATTATCAGAATATTGAACTCTGTATTTACTCTATAACTCTATATTTACTCTATAACAAGCAAAATATGTAGAAAATTAATCTAATTAGGCATATGCCACTAAAAGATATCTCTCACACCACATTAAATGGAGAGGAATTAATATGTCTCGCTTTTGGGCACTAGAAACCAGATTAATCTGAATAATTAAACAACTACAGAATATAAACTGCCCTCTAAAGCAGGCCCCTTCCAACACAAGGGGAAGGGGAAAAAAGCAACATGGTCATTACAGAAAATAAGACACAATCCTGGGACAACTATGTTCTTCTTCCCTTTATGAATATCTAATTCTGGAAAAATAATTTTGCTGTCCTAGAGAGAAGTTGAGTACTGCTATCTCTATACAGTCTGCAAAGCTTTACAGAGTGAGGCATAATTGTGTGTGGACAACAGCAACTCTGGAGATCATTACAATGTATATTATAAAATCAGCTATGATATTTTTTAAAAATATTTACAATTTGAAATAGCACGAAGAAATTTATCTTCAATCTATTTATTCATCTCCACAGTGAATATAATTTTTTATTAACTTTTTGTAGTTAGCAGAGATGTTAGATGTTAGCAGTTAGATGTTCTCATGAGAGCTGTTCTCTCAAAAGAACAGCTGAAATATTTTACAAGGTAGGAAGATCATCCTCCTCCTTCCCTCTGTTTTTTGAAATTTTTCATTTAGACTAAATGGGAATGCAACCACTGATGTACTCTTCCTTGTAGAATAAGGTCAGAAATAAAGGAGAGTCTTCAGGTGATACAAAATGGAGTCCTTCATGAAAGAAATTAAAAGCTTTAGTCAGGACTTCCCCATCCTCCCCTCTCTTGATAAGAAATAATACACCATATTGGAAAATGCATTTTTTTCTCATTGTTAATTGAATGTTGACTTTGAAGTATTTGCCTTGCATCTTGTACAATGTTTTTTACACTGTGTAAAATAGCACTTTCACTATTATTTGAATACAAATTTTCATTATGTCAGAGTTTTTTTATTATACTTTAGTTATCTAGTTATAAAAATAGTTTTACATGCAAGTTTTCTCTAATGCTGTAAATGTAAGATTGTTTCTTTATTGTTAGGAGTTCTCTCATGTCAGGTTTATGTGAAAACTGATGCATGCACAGAAGATTTAGAGCTCATTTAATGATCTCAAGATAGAATAACATGCAGGTGTCAGTCCTCCAAATTTCAGTGAAGATTAACCTAATATGCAATATGGTGACCTAACTGTTCTTCATTTGAAAGAAGTCTGAAAAGTAATCTCTGATATAGCCAGAGAGTGAGAATAACCCAGTGGGATTTCCACCTCTTCATTTCCTAATGAGTTTTTTGATAATGAGAGGTGACTTTGCCAGTCACTGTGGGCTCTATTATGGCTAATTTACTCCACTTCACTCTCCTTGTTAATTATTAACACTAGCCTTTTTATCCTCATGAGACCACACTCCAGTTTTTCCCTTTTTAGATTTTTTTTCTAAATATGTCTTTATGAAGGTGATAGTTTTCAGGAAAAGATTTTCACTGAGGGTAAAGTCAGAATTATTTATTTTACCTTGGAAGATTGTAAAATTGATTATAGAAGCATGGGAAGCTCTTGCTAATGCTTTTAATGCAGTTATAGGGTGAAAAGGCTGTTAATTAAAGAATAAGCACTGAGGTATGTTCCACTTGGGAATTACTTCTTGGTAGAACGGTCACTTGCCACGTGCTAACATGTCCACTGATTAACAGATGACTAATTTCCATGGTTTCTTTCCAGTAGTTCTGGAAAAAGAAAAGTGTGTAATTTTCCAGATGGTTTTCACCTGCCAGAAACTGTCATCTAATATATCTATTACCATTAGGGAATTACTGAAATTGGTATACAGGTGTGATGTTTCATACAACAGTTGTTTCATGTCCTTAAGTTAAAGTTTTACAATATTTGTAATAGTTGCTTTAACATGGAAGTTTTCATCAAATGTCTTTCTTTTTCCTATTCTAGTAATTTAGCATTGTTATCTAGTTAATCTTTTAAGGAAAGAAAGATCAGCAGCCTGTTAGCAATCTCTTGCATGTGAGGACAGCCCTTGTTTGTTTCTAACACTTCTCTCAGGTTGGAACCAAAGCTCAAAGGAACACAAATGACACAACAATAAAGTTAAAACTGGTGTCACAAATCCTTCTTTTGTGAAGAAAGACCTACACAGTTTTCAGAAACCAAAGAATTGTTTCAGAAACCGAAGAATTCTTACCGATAAAGTTAAAACTGGTGTCACAAATCCTTCTTGTTACACTATTTAAAAGACCTACACAGTTTTCAGAAACCAAATTGTTTCAGAAACTGAAGAATTCTTACCAAAGAACTGTAACACCACAACTAGAGATATGTTCCCTAAACTGAAAATGTGTGATGGTAGGAAAATAGACTGAATATCCCACCTGAATATAGGCTTCAGATCTTTAATCTGGATTTTAGATGATTGGACACCACTTAAAGTAGTGCACAATCCACCTTTCAGGAGCCCAGCTCTTCTGAGATTTGCAGCAAGATTGAAAAATTCCTGCACCCTTTTCAGCAACCTTCTCAATTGCCATAATGACAATTTTAATAAGTTTCTGAAGTTGCAGTTTCCCAACAAAGGATCCAAACAGAACATCTCTTATGTTCCATCTCTTATTTTATTCCATTCATGCTAATACTACTATATCTTTATAGACATAACTAGTGTGAAAGTGGTTTAGAAAGCTTAGAAGGAAATATAAACTACAACTTTATTTAAGCAATATAGATTAAATGCAAACTATCAATACCTCTTATATTACTTGTACATAATTGATTTAAGACTGAGTAATTTGTGAATATCAAGGTTAATGCACTGCCAGAATAAGGACTGAAATGGTGCAAGGATAGAGAGAAACTGCTCAGCTTGCAGGAAATGGAACACCAGGACATGTATCATAAAAACAGGCACTGTCACTTTTGTTTTGAGAATTATCCTGTCTAGAAACACATTTCCAAGGTGTGGGTACCTTGGAAAATCTTACACAAACAGTATGTAAAAAAACCCTAAGATCTTACTGTCATTTCTGAGGGCATTATTCAGCAGCTGGAAAAGTGGGAAGCTGTCCCAGGAGTCTTGGGGCTGTGCCTCAAGTGCAGAATCCATGTCAACAGAATACAGAGACAAAAACTTCTCTGCATGCTCAGCCAACAATTCTGGCCACCAAGCAAATGCCTGCAAACAAAACAGAATTACTAAACATGAGCCATGAGATGTGTTCTGTCTATGGCAGATACATCTGAGTATGTCACATCATGTCCTGTCTCATGTGGGGAGGAAGAATGGGCCAAGTGAAAAATGTGAAAATATTTTATAAAACTTTGCATCAAAAAAGTAAGAAATCAAACAGATTATTGTGGGAAAGGTGATATGATTAGAATAAAAATATAACACCAGAAAAATGGAAAAAGAGAATATAAATGCCTTTTTTTCCTAGAGAGCAAAGAAAAGCATGAAGACCTTACCCTTGAAAAAAATGACTGTATATGTTTCTTTTGATTTCATCAAATTCTAGGGCAGATGAATTTATTTTTAAAATAAATATTTATGAATACATTTTGCATTCATTTGGTAATCAAAAAGGGTGGTTTATTGTGAAATTTTATTCCTTGAAGTCTGAGGGGTTTTTTTAACATCTAGAGTGATTTTAATTTATGTTTTTGCCTTAAAGATGTCAGTTTCTTCTGAGGAAGACATCCAGTTTTCCTTGTGCAAGTGCTATAAATCTTTAGAAGTTCACTAATGTCTTAACATGTAACTTAACACGTTGGAACAGTTTTCTCTGGCAAAAATTTATATTCTTAAGCAATCCTTAAAGAAGAGAAGAAATCTGCGAAAAATATCATCAGCAAGTAAAGCCAATTCTTCATTAAAGACATATAACTATTGTACCTTTTCACCAGCACATAAACCTAGGCTTTTAAGTGTCAGTATTGGAGCTGAGCATTGGATCAGGGGGAGCTCTGTGATCCTGGAGTTAAAGATGAAGGTGGAGGGAGTTTACGAAACAGGATGAACATTGAATCCTGCTGAGAGTGTTTTGCTCAGAACAAATCACAGTGAGAAATGCCTACACATGCAACACAGGAAGATGTCATTGCTGTCAAACTTATGCCACTCATTTTGAATATATAATTTTGAATATTTTTGAGTTGCCAGCGTGTGTAGCTTGATTTGCACAAGAGCTGAGTCCCCCCAGCTTCAAATAAATTCAGAGAAATGTTCACTTGTATTTATGAAACGCAGGCCCTGGGTGGTGTAGACTTATGTAATCAGGTCTGAAAGTCATCAAATAAAAGACAACTTCTATAAAGTGGTCTACAAATGTGTTTTTGCATCATGGACTTTCTGATGACTTCCTGTTGTTATTTCTGACACGGGGCAAATGGAGAAAGGATGAATTGGCAAAAGGTTTTAAAGAAATGCTGAGCATCTCCTGCTATTACTGAAAAGTACTTGTGTGCTCCAGTGGTAGGACTGAAGAATGACAACTGGCATCATAGTGAGGAGGAAAGATGAGGCTTCAAAAATTTTGGCAAGAGTTTGAAATGGAGTCTTTCACTTTCATCAAACTGGAAGAAATTACTTATTAATGAATGTGTTTAAGTAGGAGTTAATTAAAGGAACAGACTCCTTACTCTAGAAAATACATGAAAATAAAAAATATATATAGGCACAAGCAGGGGACCCTTCTAAGCAAGCAAATCTCTTTTCAGAACATATTGCCAAAATTTCAAAACAAAGCAAAACCAAAACTAGAAAATGAAAACATTTTCTCTCCATTTTCTTCCTTGTTGTAAATGACACTCAGAATCCAGACTGAAATTCTTCTGACTCTCTCTCAAGAGCTATACATCATTACTTGGGAAGCAAGAGAGATGAATAGAAAAAAGTTAAAGCTAAATGTAACAGCACAGTTGCTATGGATAATAATAGGCTAAAAGGAATCAGCAATTGGTGACACACATTCTAGGAGAAAAGAAACATTGCCTGGATTAAAGGAAGAATGGAATTCTTAGATTCTAGAAGCACATAAATGTGGCTATGCAACATCAGAAATCATCAAAACAGTTTATGCTACATGTTCAATGTACAGTTCCATGCTATGAGCAGAGCAAAACAATGCTTAGTTCATCAGGAATCACATACCTCTCTTCCCTTTGGGGATCCCCGAAATTTGTAAATGTTATGAATTAAAAAAAAGAAAAAAAAATCTAGTGTTAAAAATGTGATATATTATTTTACAGATTACTGATCCTTTTTGTTAACTGCAGCATCAAACACTGAACATTTGCATAACATTATGATGTGAAGTCACCATACTTAATAATCTTTTTTGAGTAGGGAATGTATAATTTGGCAATCTTTTTCTCAGATATATTTTAATACTGAAATTCTGTATGCCCCATAAATTTCAGTGAAATTAAACATGTATTACATGAATGAAGGAAGGGGAAAGTAACCTTAGCATTATCATTTTTCTTTTCAAGGTACCTTAGATTAGATTGCAAACTTTAGCTGAATAAATTTTTCTGAATGCATATGCAATATACTTATCCTTCTAAAAAACACCACAACTCTGACTGCAAATAAATAGTATAGAATGCAATCTTTGAACAGAGATGCTTAATCATATATGTATGATTTGATCTGGGTTTTTGTTTCTGTGTTCTTTTCCACAGAAGTTCAATTTGCTTACAGTCATGCAGGTTCTCAAAAGACAAAGACCACAATATATACATTTTATTAAGTAATCATTACACTGTAACACAGTGGCAACAGTAGTGTAGAACAGGACCTCCAGGGAATTAATTTCAAATCATCAAAACAGCTGTTTCTTCAGTATATGATAAAACATCTATAACAAGTTCACACATGACAGATGTAAGCTAAAAACCAGATTCCATAGTGTGATATAAAACCAGATGTTTTGAATGATCATATTTTAGAACTATATATACTGGATAATGTTTATCCATTTGCATATTTTCCAAAAAAATATTTATTGAGTTTTTTGAGAACATTTAAAAAACAACTTCCTGAACCTTAGAAAACTGTATTTGTTAATTAAATTTCAATAATATATACAGGTGTATCTGGCCAAGGTAAGTTTTGTAATTCCTTGACATAAGAGGTGCTAGAATTCTAGCTGTTATGGTTTCTGTATCATGAAGCAAAAGATATGAGAATAAGAAACATAAAATTGTTTTATTTCATTTCTTCTACCTTACAATGCCATTTTTAAAAGCACAAGTTTAAGAGCATACTTTTCCAATCAACAAAAGGGCAATGGAAATGAGATTATTATACCTATAATTATTTTTATATCTACAATACAGATCTATACAGCATGATGAAAACCCGCATTCAGTTATATTTTCTTTCTATGTTGCACATCAGGTGAAAAGCTGGAAGGAAAAACTGTGTAAGGCTATGAATGTTTTCCATACCATTTCAGCACCTCCAGCACAAAGATGCTTTCTCTTTTTTATGCTCTTTAATTTTTGTTTCTAAACCTACAGTTCATTCAAGTGAATTGAAGTAGAGGTTTATTTCACTTCACTTTACATAAGCTTTAAGTCTCTTATTCCTCTGTAAATGTGAACTGCCTTAAACATATGTCAGAAAGGAAAACTAAAATGTTTCTTGACAGACTTGCTTCGCATCAGAGGAGCGAAAATCCAGGAACAAACCATTCTCTACAGCAAATGCAATTACAGCCTCACCTCTGAATGATGCTCTTCATTTTGCTGCAATACTTCGATACAGAGTTCTGCGAGGTGAATAACCTCTTCCAGTTTTCTTGCAGGTGTTGCTTGATTCATCGTCTCTATATGAATATAAAATGTAAACCAAAATTGTTTTAGTTACAAATATGATTTACAGTAAGAGAAAATTATGTTAGAAACTAATGGGAATGCTGCAAACTGACAAACTTCTAAAAAGAAATTTCAAGTGTTAAGGATAATGACTTAATACACATTAATGTAGCTGAATGTCCAGATTACCAAAAAGAGAAAATAATTCACAAGCGCATTAGTGGCCACTGTAAACATTATCTGATTTAGTATATGAGAAATAACAGGTGCATCAGTGTATTAGATGCTCAACTTTTGCATTAAGGAAGTTCTTTTTCTCTTCAAGGCCGTATATACAAAGACAGCAGATAGTGGAGACCTTTTTTGTTATTGTCAGTACAATGTCTTCTCACCAGTTGACTCATTACTGTCATCAGCAAAATTCATACCTTTTGCAGCAGTCAAAAATTCCAAATGTTTAATCAAAAAAAGACATTTCATTTTAGGCATATTTAAAAATAAGAAAAATGCAAACCACAATGATGCATACAACCAATATCTAGTAACTAATTATTCAAATAACTAATTTTCTACCTGCTGTTCATCAGTAAAGGAGAATCTGAATTCTTTTCAGTGCCATAGTGAAAAGTAGGACTATGAAATGAAGATCTTACAACAGAATTAATACAAGCCTACTAAAAATTCCACCTAAAAGAAGTACAAATGCAAAAGTTACAAATTACATAAGACTCACTTATTCTACCCAGAGACTTCAAAAAGAAAGGAAACAGCAAAGGTAAACCAAATGTAACTAAAATACTTACAGGGAAATGAAAGAACAATTAGCTTGCAATTAAAAAAATCATAGCACTAGATTTCAGGAAGAATCACAGGAGATAAGGGAAGAGTCCAACAGAATTTTTTTACAAACATTTTAATCAGTAAAAGTATCTTGTCCAACTACATAATCTGCATTGTTAGGAATAACTTCAGCATTAGCTATTAGAGCTTGTTTGCTTAAAAAAGCTCTTGTTGCTAAGCCTAAATGTATGGTCACATTAACCTGGTTTGCAGAGAACTTATAAAGCTGATAACAAGGTTAGTGAGAGTTTCAGGAAATCTATTTTCTCATTTTTTGCGCAAGTTTATGGATCACATGGACAGCAAATCATGTGAATACACATCTTCATATGCAGAAAATTCTGCTGACATTCCTTCCCACTTTGCATTCATCATTGCATAGACCATTATCACATTAATTAAACAATTCACATAATCTCCTTGGTGTTAGTAAGAATATAAATCTGCATGCAATAAATATTTTAAACATTTAACATTTCCAGCAAGTCAAAGCAACATTCCAGACATTTTAAAAGCAGGTGACCTTGTCCAGTTCTCCAGCATTAACACATTAATGCATATTACAGTAATGAAATATATAGCTTTGATGCAATTTTTGAAGAAATACTGGATTAGAATCTCAAGCAAACATCTACATTGTTTTCATGCAAAAACCAAGCAGGAAAACTAGTTATTAAAGCAACTACAAAGAGTTTTTTCATATATTTTTAAAAGAAACCATATAACCAGATATGTTGAAACACTTTTTTTTTCTAAAAGCAGAACTTAGCTCAAAAAAGAGTTAAGTGTAGGAACATGGGTCAAACACAAAGCACACACAAGGCACAAAAATACATTCATAATGCCATGATTACTGTTTTCAATACTGTACTGTATTGTCTTTACAATTCCTATACTATACAACGATTATATGAATATAACAACAAACATATCGAATCAAGAGAGATTAGCAATGATCAGCCAAGTGCCTGTTATTTAGTATTCTGTATACCTACTATTGGATTTAGACCAAACCAGTGGTTTCTACACTTATCCTGGACTGAAATTGCTATTTCTCCTAATGGTCAGTGTCCTCCCCTTCCTGAACACATAGCAAGTACAATTCATACAGATAATATACATCACGAGCAGTGTCACTGATGTTAATGAGTTTTAGGAATAAACCAGTGATATGAAAAGAGAGCATGACTGGAACATCTGATTTCAGCATAAACAACTCATTTTATTGCAAACTCAGCCTGATTTTCATTACCTCACCACTAACCAGTAAACAAAATAATTGCATGCATAATTGCATACATTCCTAATGAAACGAAATAAGCTGTAAAATATTCATGTAAAATTATATCCTATAAGGGCTTCTCTACATCATTAAGAAAGTAATTCTAATAATTATGTTGAATCTCATGTTGCATTTTTACTCTGGAATAAACTCACATATTCCACACTTGCAATTAGCTCAAGGTGGCCTAAAAATGGCTGTTGAACAGATATCATTATCACTAGGGAGAGCAGGAGAAAAAAGATCTACCACCCAACTGTGAGATTGTCTTGCTCCAGCAATGTGATAAGATCACAGTGAAGAGAAATACAGTCTCGGGCAAGTAGCAATTCCATTGAACAAGGCATTAAGGAAATACAGTTCTAGTCATCTGTGCTGAAGTGATGGATTTTGATCAGAAAAGAAAAGGAGTAAAGGAGATTGGTTTGGTTTTTTTTTTGTTTTGGTTTTTTTTTTTTTTTCTGTGTTTGTCTGAAAGGCATCATAAGCCTAATAAAATGAAGGATGAAAGTGAGGATCAGAAATGTTCACACAGACAATGCAGGAATACAGTGTTCCCAAAGTGGAAACACTTGGGAGGGAGAGGACCTACCTTTGATCAGGGATGATGCTGGCAGAAGAATAGATCAGTCATGACAAATGATTTAAACTAGACATTTTGAAGTTTTTAATCATTGTGGGACTAAAACAAAATGGAACAGTTTTTTTTCAATAGGATTAGCATGTTTAGGAGGAAAAAGAATATGAAAACTGTAAATGCATCTTTAAGTTGAGTATGGCAGGCTTCTAATTGATGTTTCATGGCAGGGATGACTAAATGTGTGCTATACTAGACTGAATCAATTCCGATTTCATGTTTCCGTAAGACTCACCATGCTATTTACTAGTTTACACTGGAAGTATTTATTACTAACTAAAAATATGCAAATCACCCTTAATGTTTCCAGCTTTTCATAATATTTTCAAAATCATTATTTTCTTAGAACATTTGTTCATAAGAAAAGGCGGAAGAGAATTGTGCTATCTGTATCCTTGCACAAATCTCTCTAATTTTTTTGTTTACTTATCCACAGAAGAAATCAGTACATGCTATTTCTTTTGCATGATATAGACTTCCCTACATTTCTACATTTCACTTAAGCTTCATATAAAGCCTCCTTTTCCATATGCAAGTTACCTCATCACCTAGCCATTTTCCTCTGTAACTAAACACCTTTCAAATTCTAGGGAATATGTCTTATGGATATCCACCAGTTAGATGCGTATATACACAAGGGGCTATGAAGTAATTTGAGAAATAAATAATGAGGTGTTTTTTTTTTAGCCAAGCAAGTAGTGTATATGAAATATGAGTAGCAGTAAATTAATATTTGGAAGTTTTAGAACCTCCAAAACACCTGAGCCAAATACTGTGCTTGTCTTTGTAAGCATAAAGGAATGGAAAGCAGTGCTGTCAGTTTTCATTATATTTGTGATGTCTTTCTTCCCACAATTACTAAAGGTTGTTAAGATGTGTTTACACTGCTCAAACTAACAAGTTGCAGCAGAAGTCGAGTCAGTAAATATGCTGCTTGACATCGGTTAGAAAATAAACAGAAAAAGCCATCAATCATCTGTTTCCAGCTTCACATCCTGCCAAAATGAAAAAGCAAGCCAGGCTTTGCAAATAATGGATGCTTTCTCAAGTATGCATTACCAGTGAGTCACATAGGTACCGAGCAATATTGTTAAATGAGCTAAGTTATCTGAGTGAAGTGCTACTGAAATGAAAAAGTGACTGCTTCATGAACCAACGGAGCCTCGGGCCACAAGGGACTGTCAGATCATCCAGTCTCACCTCCTGCATCACACAGGTCAGGGAACTTCTCCCCAGTCCTTCTTTTCGAGACAATCAGGATGTCTAAAACCTAACAACAGTGTGTCTAAAACCCACCTTAAGTTTTCTTTCCACAAGAGTGTTGAAGATACCCTTGAACACAAATGCACAATTCACCTCTCTCATTTTCTCCCCAGCATGTAAGCTGTTAAACATGTGTGATTAATTTCTCATTGACATTTGCTCCACACAGGAATCTGCTCATTAAAGAGGCATTTTTTTTTCTTGGTTATGAATACAATACAACTAGGAGACTCCTGACTCTGGCCTGCCAGTCTCCCCCTCAGTGACACAGCATATATCCCTCATTGGTTTTCACTGCCTCATTTTTCATCCTTCCCCCTTTTCTTCCAACAAGCATATCCAGAACCAGTGTCTCAGGAGAGCCAACCTGTCTCCAGGTAGAGGTACAAATACAACTAGGAGACTCCTGACTCTGGCCTGCCAGTCTCCCCCTCAGTGACACAGCATATATCCCTCATTGGTTTTCACTGCCTCATTTTTCATCCTTCCCCCTTTTCTTCCAACAAGCATAACCAGAAGGATATGGAGAGCCAACCTGTCTCCAGGCAGAGGTACTGGAAAAAAGGCAAGTATGCTGAGAAGTTCCAAAATTCACAGCCTCAGTGGGCTTAGAGCAAAGCAGGACACAACGTAATTGACCATACAGACACATCATAATTTGAGCTTTAGGGAGCCAACTCTGCTCCAGCGGGGCCCATTCATTTGGGCTTTTTAACATGTGAAACCTGCAAGATTGCTTGAAGCTAGCATGTTACTAAACCTGAACTGACTCTGAAGAGTTAACACAAAACTGGTATAATCTATCCACAGATAATTTAGATTTCACTGTGCTAAATTTTTGTGCAATTTCTCACAGAACTAATTCATGAAAAAGTAAGGAGGTAGATCTGAAAGGACATTTTATATTTTTCACATTAAAAAAAAATCCAGCCTTATACAAGTAGTGGAATTTAGCTTTAATTATGAAGCTGAAAACAGTCTTTCCATAA